AAAATTTTTAGCTATAATTCACTCGTATTCCCGAAACAAATTATTAAAATTTGATTTTAATGCCAAAGCTGAAAGAATGCTTACTGAAACTTCGCTTTCTTCATTGCATAATATCACAGATCTTCAATTCTGTTACTTAGTACTATGCATTCATTGCTTTGAAGAGCAAAAAATGATAACTAAAAAGTACTTTTTCGCTGTTTCCTGTGTTACACCGAACTTGATGACAGCGCGAAGATTTTCCCTTAGCCACAAGAGTAAATAAACTACGCTACAATTTAAAATCAAATGCCCGGCCCAACGAGAAACTAAGGATTGTTATGTCAAGTCCAACATTTTAATTACTGCTAAATTTCGATAAAATTAGACGGCGTTACATCACTCGGTGAAACGACATCCTTTGCAACATCATACTTCAGAACTTTCAGGTTTTAAACAAGGGTTCTGCGTGTTTCTTTTTCATGAATTATTCGCCACAAATAGCAACGGAGTTCATAGTTCCTTACATTTCCGCATTCTCCCTCATTACTATGTGAAATTACGAACGAAATATTACAAGCATTGACAATTCAAGGCCGAAAAAATTTTGAATATTGCATGAACATTGTGTCAAAAAAAAATCTGTGTGCTGTAAAGATTTCCTTAAAACAAAGCCGTAATTAATCCGAAAATTAAGGTAACCTACTGTTTTGGCATCGTTTTCTTTTGTCTAGGTAGATGCAAATGCAATGAAGTTTGGGGTTTACAGAGATCTTTCCAGAATTTGCTGTAGGGTTGTTTTCCGGGTGTAACGAAATCCAAACAGGATTTGAAGTCGTATTGCCAAAAATAGCCAATTTAGGACATGTTAAACTAGAATCCTACGAAAATCACGACTTACAGGCTCTGTAGGCTGCATGTGCATATACTGGTATTGCCTGCATGTACAAACAATCACTTACTGTTTTTCAAGCAGGTGAGTAGATCCTAATTTTGTCGAGACAATTATAAAGAAAAACAAAAAAATTTCTTAGCACACATTTCCACGAAAGATAAAATCTCAAATTCTTCGTACCGAACTAGAAACAAGCGAGCATGCATCTTTCAATAGCTTTTCGAATAATGTGATGCTTATTTTTCTTTCATTTGAGGGAAAAAACACCAATTTAAATCACATGGGAAGAGAAAAAAATCCATTCCTTCTCGATAACAACAGGATTTCGTTTGAACTGGCTTATGTACCGATACATCTCAGCTCGACAGAGTCCTTCCAAGGCTTGTTTCGACCAGGCATTTGAGTTTTAAATAAATCGTCAAGAAGTCTAATTAAGACTTGTTGCAAACTGTACGCTATTTTAGTTAATACGGCAAAGCAGTGATACAAGTGTTAGATGGCACTGTACTTGATTTTGTCTCTTTTTGAATTTTGGCCAAGAAATGCCTCTATATTGAGCAATATTTAATCTGTAACTTACTGAACTCATGTCGAGATTGAATTATGATTTTTCACCAATTCGACCTACAGTAGGTTGTAAGTCAGTTGTGATCAGGCGGTTATGTTGAATCAAACTCAGTAAATAAGTGAATACGCACCGACCCCTCCTCTAACCCAACATTGACCCTAACTTGTTGTCAGTTGATTGTTGCTGGGTCAGGGGAGGGGTAGGTGTGCAGTTGCCCAGATACTAACAATGGTCCTTACTGTTTATGTCTTGGAATAGTCGTTTGAAGGGTTCTGTTGTTACTTGTTGACAGGATTCTGTTCTTAGCTGGTAGGCTGGTAGATTATCTCTCTGCGGGACCGTTCATCATTTATTGCCGGGGGAGGGGGGGGGCTGGTGGATTACGTCTCGATAAAATTAACCAGATCTTTGTGTAGTCTCCTCTTTATACTCTGTTGGCGACGACTGGTCCCCTCTGCTCCCCCTGACATCCATGTGCTCTCCCCCGAAAGGAAATCCTCTACCCCACCCTCTCACCCCCGGGCGATAATTATGACTGGTCTCCAGCGTCAGTCGGTAAAGATAGCTAACTCTGTAAGTTCAACATTGAGTATAGTTGTTGTCAATAGCGTGGTTTTTTAGTTGATGATGTTCAGTAATATAAATTTTAGAATTGCATTTTCCTTTAACTGAGACCTTTTATTGCAGTGCCGCCGTAACAAATATCAACTACTTGCTACATCGACAAAAATGTCCTTGTGATAAGAACTGTAAAGCAAACAAAAAACGAGCGATCACTCGAACTTATTCATCAAATCTCAATTGCTACTTGTGCACAAGCGATGTAAGTCTTCTGTGATAAATTACGCCAAATTAGGGGTACTTTTGGTATGAATCCTACGTTCGCCTAAGGTCTGCAGAACAATCCTTATCATAGAAAATTAATCCAAAAATGGTGGCCAAATGAAAACTCTTCACTTACCAAGTGCACATTTTCAAGAATAGCACGAGTAAGATCCGTCAACCCATGGAAAGTAAATTCTCTCTACAAAAATCAGTTACTTAGAAGCCACCATTTTTGTTCCTGCTATTAGATAACTTCAAAGATCTTATCTTTGTGGTATCCTCTTTATATTCATTGTTTCATCAAGTTCTTCAGGTCAAACTCTTGGATCTTTCCATCCTTTTATCAACATCCCACCAGTCTTCCTGAAAATATGAATTATCAATGTGGTCAGGGACTGCTCTTTATACTAAATCGCAACAAGAAAGCCATCATAATGAAATAAAAATTTCGTATTTTTTTGTTCTCTGAAAAATTTGTAGGGAAGGAATCTGATTAAAAGAGGACTTCCAAAATTCACGTGGCTGCGTTCAACTACAAAATAACGTCCCAAATAGATCTAATGTTAACGTTCGACCAAAAGACGAATTTCTATCATGTTTAAACAACCATATAATCTGCTTCTGTATTTGTCTACAGTACAGGCATCTTATTAGGGCGAGTTAACGTTAGAGGCTCGGAATCGTTTATTCGACCGACCATGTTTGATTTAGAGTTCGAATAGAAGGGGGGGGAGGGGGGAAAGGCGAGAGTAATTTCCCCCACACTCCTCCCTCTGCTTCATTTAGACCGTCTCACCCCCTCCCTTAGTGCAACTTTTCTTTCTCGCCCCAGCTTTCCGCTGCTGTAAAATCTAAGAGATGAGCGGGCAGTTATGATTTTCACCAAGAAAATGCTGAACGCCCGCTCTGCAAGCTACTTCTGCATGTGCAAACACTTATTTCAAATTAAACTTCGAGTTGGAGAGTCTTTCTGACCGAACAACTAACACGTGTTGGCTCGGTGAACCGAGAAAGTGCGACGTTTTTAGCTTTTTGAACGAGTAAACGATACCAGTTTCCGAAAAAATTCTCACCTTACATTACGGTGACATTTACAGTAGCTTTTGTGACTCTTCTTCCTGGCCAAGTGAGGTTTCTTTTCCTTCCAGAGTAAAAATTCCCTTCAACTACGAAAGGTAATTTTTCACTTTGCGTCGGAAAACGTAGTTTGATAAAATTCAACAACTTCTGATGAATATGGATTAACAATGCAAGCCAATAACTGGTTGATACGTCACAGATTTGGTGTCAGAGTTAAGTTTGCACGCCCAGCCAGAGAGACAGTGTGTGGCTGGGACGAATTTGCATATGAAAAGGGGAAAAATTTAACAGTAATTAAAATGTAGCGTGGAAACACCCTTGGGACAAGGGCAAGTGTCTCTCAAAAAGAGATTGAGGGAGGTAAGGTGGTATTTGTTTATAACTCATAAGCACAAAAAAATAACATACTTTTTACCATCCTGTCTTAAATCTGCTGGCGTCGTTATTTTAAGCAACTACATGATGTTTAAAAAACCATGATTGACGTAAATCTCTGCGGGTAAGTCTCATATCAACATTGCATTAATAACAAATCAAACCCAAAATCGAAAAAGATTTTTATTCTCCTAGATGGAGAGCGTAAAAAAAGGAAGCAAAAGTAAAGATAACTTAAGGTTATTTTCCTTTGAAGGAAAGATCTGGGGAAATAAATGCATTGTTAATCTCTTACGAAGGAGAGGCAAGATTGAATTAATTAGCAAAATCTCCCGCAGCCCACGCGAAAGAACGCAAAATAAGGAGGGCGTGCTGTTATTCCCTAAGGAAAAAACGCAAAATGAAAAGAAAGCAATGTTTTCTTCGTATTTAACCCTTTAAATCTCAAGATTGACTAGCATCTAATTTCTCCTTACAATAATACCCCTAAATCACATATCAAGATAACGAGAATAAAGGAAATGATCACCAACTAAAGAGGCTCTTGATTGCTAAACAGATTCTCCTTGTGAAAACCTTTGGAAATGTTTAGGAAACAGTGTGGAGAAAATGGATACTGATGCAAGGGTTTGAAGCGTTAAATCTTGACTCCTGACCCCTGACGCCTTTCACGGTTTTCACTCAGGGGAAGGGAAATCCTCACAGTTTCCGTCATTAGGGAATTCAGCGCCGGGAAGACCCAAACAGGAGGAAGGGAGGTTTTTCCTTGCGAGGAAATTTTTTTTTTTTTCAGGAGGAGAATCAAATGTAACGGGCTTTTTCACCGAATATTTTTTGGTAAAATCCTCTTTTTGCACCTCTACCGGCACTTTCGGTAAATGGTTTCAATGTTATATTTGTATCTCTCGCACTCAACTATCTGCAAATTGCAAATTATAGAGCCTAGGCTTTTAAAGAATATAAGGAATACGCTAGACTTGTAACTGGGCAGAGGCGCGGTGCCCGATGGTCAGCCCTTTCACTTTCCCAAAAATCTCTTCGGCTGTTAAAATGAGAGTTGGTAGGATTGGGGCCAGGTCCAAGTTCCTTCAGTGCTATGGGGACGTGGATTGCTACTGCTACCTATTCCTATTTCCCTTCTTCCTGTTCCTTTTTTTTCTGTGCCCTCTCTTATCAAGAATTTTCTACAGTAGATATTTGAGTGATTTGACATAGCTCGTGAAATTAAATTCTGCACTGTTAGATATATCTAACGAATACTAATAACTGTTTAGAACTAAGAAATAAGATTTTGTTCCGCGGGTTAAGAAAGTCACTCTTATGAATCCAGTTGCGTGACTCAAGGTCTCGTAAGAGTGAATGGGTCACGTAACTTTCTCCGAACAAAGAGCCAGTCACGCAAAAAGAATGTACACTGAAATGGTTTACTTTTCTAAATTACTTCATTTTAATTTTATACCATTTCTTACAACTAGAGCAATATTTGAACCAGGCTAAAGCACATTATGACAACAGGCCTATCATCATTAATACTTGAAGTTTCCGCCGCGTAATTCATATAAAAAATCAAATATAAAATAAAAATAACGTTTTCGGGAAAAGCGGAACGTAAAATCGTCTACGACGAGGACGAAATAGAAGCGTTCGAATCCGCATAAGCGTGACTGCTTTTTTTTTTTTTTGTGTTGAGAATGGCAAAGTTTAAATTTGAAGCGTGACATTGTATTTAGAGCATGTTCGGCTATCGTTGAGGAAGGAAAAATTGCGATGACCGGACTCTCTTGTGATCCGCTCGTAACAGTGTTCAACCATTTGATCCAGGCCCCAGCCTTCACCAGATCGTCCAATAATTCATTTTTCATATTACCTTTTTCATCCCCTGGGTAAGTCATACACCTTCAGAATAAGGCTGACTCCTGAAAGATAAAAATTGCAGAGAAATGAGCCCAATTTTTTTTTTCACCTTCTTTGTAGAAGTTAAGGGGCGAAGTATAAACCCTGTCCTTGCCACTCCCTCTGAAGTTAAATGGGGGAGGGGTGGTGTGACGATTTGCTTAGTAACTCAATGAAGAGCGCCCCTGGATGACTGCACTTGATTTCGAAAAGTGAGCGACAACGAGATTCGACTTTACTGACATTGGACGAGAAAAGAAGACAACAGAAGATTACAATCGATAACAACGGATAAGAGAAGAACAAGTCTCCACGACAAATCCCGTAAAAAAAAAACGATCCGCGTGCACCAAAGGTCACTGCGATTCATTTAACCCTTTACCTCCCAGAAGAGATTGACATGTAACTTCTCCCTACAATATCAATACATTTTTCAGCAAACAGGTGATGAGAATACTCAAACTCATCAGGCACAAGACATTACCTTGATTGAACACCAAATTCTCGTAACCAATTTAAAGGAAATGTGTAACAGCTAGAGGGGAGAATTAACAATCAGATCTTAGGAATTAAAAGGTTAATTTTTTCGTCGACACGATCATACTAGCTTGGATTTGTGCGGTTTGTTTCAGGCACAAAAAAATCGTCGCCGGGGAGTAGAGATAATTGCAAAAAGCTAATCGAAATGAATTGTAGCTGCGTCGTGTCGCTTCAAGTGCGCCAACCTTTAGGGATCGTTATAGAAAGCAGTTAAACACAACATGTAAAAACCGTCATCTTAAAAGGAATACTCACATTGAAATACGTGGCCATTAAAATCTCGTAGTCGTCACTGTTCACCAGCCGTCCTCTCAGTCTCTGGGGTTTTACGGCCATGTTTCTTGCCCGTATCCTGGTGTTGTCCTCGTGGGCTTCCTCGCCGTTCTTTGAATTGTTTATTTTTCGGTTTGTTGAACGGCTGGTTGGCAGGCTGCCCCGAGGAACCGTATCTGAAAGGGGAACAGTTACGTGATTTAAGTCGGCCAATCGCAGCAAAGGAACCAGTAACAACTCGACAAAAATGCCCCGTCACCGCCACATAAAAGATTGCTGGTAATTGGATTAAAGATGTAGAGTTTGTCTGATCGGTTGCAGTTACAAAGTCAGTGCTGCCACACGTCTAAGCGTATACGACCTTAAACGAGCTTACGACAAGAAACCATAGCAACACCATGAGAGAACCGATTGCTAAACAAATTCTCCTTGTCAACACCTTAGGAAATGTATATATAAAAGTATGGAGAATATGCATACTGATGTTAGAGTGTAAAGGGTTAAAGAGACAAAATATATCAACCATCAATTTTCCTCCTCAAACTCATGCCGAAACTGGCAACGGAACGGCCGGTTCATTAGTCACAAAAATTGAACTAAGAAATGACATCTATTAGTGATACATGTTTCTCCGAGCTGACAAGGTGACACGCACAGAGGGTTTTTTGCCTCTTTCAGAAATTCCTACAACATTGATCAATTTTACCCCAACACATCATTAATACAGAAACAAAACATATAATTAGGCGACTCAGAGAGGAGAACTTGGATACATTTTGACGCCTTGTCAACTGGACTTACCTTTGATACGGATATTGGTTAAACTGACTCCTTTCTCCCTGAATCTCATAACCAGTAGATATCGATCCATCCCCGTAAGAGACCAACGAGGGGGAGCCTTGCATGACAGTGTCGGAGCTGTACATCTCGCCAGTCTTGAAAGCGCGTCTCTCAATATTATACATTCTCCTCTGATTCGAGGGATACTGGTTCTGAACATGCGGCGGGGTCTGTTGGTACTGAGAAGGGACTGGGCCCTGTTGCCCGACGGCAGCTGCCATAGCAACACCCCGACCCCCTTGAATGACTAAGGGTACCATAGGTCGGAGAAGTTGCTGTGGGTTGTGGGGCGAGGTCGTTTGTTGTTGTTGTTGTTGATATGGTGTGGTATGCGTCTGTTGTGGTGACTGCTGAGGAATTTGAGACGAATATGTCAGCTGCGCCTGAGCATGTTGATGTTGTTGTTGCTGCTGCTGCAAGTACTGGTTTGTATGAGCAGGCGACGCTGTTTGGGGAGGGGTGGGTGGTGTCTGGGATCGAGCGTGTTGTTGAATGACGGAGGAAGTAACATCTTTAGGAAGGGTGCCGTAGGGAAATTGTTGATATGGTGTTTGAGTCGGTGAAACCACGTAACTTTGGTATTGCTGAGGGTTTGCAGTCTGGGGGACCGCTTGAGCACCGTAAGCTTGGCTTTGTATCAACGGCCTCATCTGCGACTGCATGCCTGAAGGAGGTAACACAACGTATTGCATTTGACCACCTTGAGTGACACTGTTGACGTACATTGGCGAAGTTGTGCGAGTAGAGCTCGGCACGCCTGACTCAGCGTACTGTTGTTGGTGGTGATACGAGGTCGATTCCAGAGTGGCTTGTCCCGAAAGAGAAAGCGCGCCAAACTGGGCAGTCATGTCCTGATATCCCGGATTTCCTGAAGTTACCGGTTGAGCTGATGCAGACCAATGGCTTCCCGTCTCTGCGCCCTAAATGGCAAGAATGTCAGCATTTGAAAGCGAAATGAGTAAAGGCTCACTCGTTGTATAGTAAGAAAACCAGGAACAAGGAAAGGGAAACGGGACGGGATCAAACTGGATGTGCCATATGTCTGTGCCAACTATTTCGTCATTGGATATGACATTCCTTAATAAATGAATCTAAAAAGCTCGTAAGGAATAGAGAAAGTTCTGAAATCACTCCCAATATTACACAGAGTTTAAGATATTAACTTTTTACTGGAACTTCTTGACTGAGAGATTTTAAGGAGGAACGAATATAACTCTTTAAGCGACGCAGCCCTTTCTTCGTGGGTAGGAGAGGGTTACGCTTTTCATTTGCCCTCAAAAACTTGGCTTCAAAGTTGTGAAAGCAGGTATCATAACAGAAATATTTTCCCCTGTCACTGCATTGTCAGTGTAAAGGATAGTTTTCGCGAATTCTTATCTCGAGCCCCGAGTCTTTTTAAGTTCGAGTGCGACTAAAACGCAGACGAAGATAGGAAAAGACTTCGCATTCAAAATTCCGCGAATAAAGCGAAGAACAAAGCCGAACATCACCTTGAATTGATCATTAATCGCCCAAATTCTTTATCTCGTCCAAAGTCACTCAGTGGTGCAGTTTTCAATTGAACGTCGAAAAACCGAAACCAAAGTAATCACTATGGCCAATCAAAACAAAGGATGAGATCTCCATTAGCCAATGAGAACTCATAGATAATCAAAGCAAGCCAAAAAAGCGCGGGAAAACGCGGGTGACCAAGACGCGATCTGTATTTGATTGGTTGAGAAGATGACGCAAGTTTTCTGGACCAATCACAGAGCGAGGCAACGTCAAAACAAGGTAGTCCCGGATTTCTTTCGACATTCAAATAAAAATTGCTCTTTACAACGCTAAATTTCGATAAGCAAAGGAACAGAATAAATCCTACTAGTTATTTGGCCTGTCTGGAAATGCAGTAGTATTGAGAGGAACTGAAGAAAATCCAACCTTTACTCATGTTGAGCTGGCTTCCTGGCTGTCTGTCTATATATCTATAAACAAGAAACTACTACCTCTAATCAAAGCAGCAAAACAATATGGCGTTCTTCCTTAGGTTCTCGATCAACGCAAGTTTATGACAAAACTGCTTTCACCAGTTTCACCTCAAAATTTATCTTCCAGTAAAAAAGGGAAACTTCTTTGATCATTAAAAAACGTTTTAATGCACTGGGATCAAATTAAACAAAATATTTTCTTTCTTAGAATGTGGTTACAAGTGTAAACAGTTGATATAAATAAACGCAGGTATTAAAACTATCGTCCGAAGATTTTGTTCATTTGGTTTGACCCTTAGTCACGTTTCATTGCTGCCAAATAACCTTACGTAATTTAAAAGATCAGTTTTTACCTTTCTTTTCTGTTCCCATTCATTCGTTACCATTTCAATCTTTGTCAGGTTACCGCTCATGAGCATGTAAAGTTCGTCATCAAAATTACAATGCAAGAAACTTATCAAGGCAACTCTTTTATTGACACAATTTTCATTACAGCAATTGTAATTCTTCCTAAAATAATAATAAAAAAAAAATTCTTTCCGCTCATTTTGCCGTGTTGCACTCAGCTTTATCAAAACCAATCGATGAACGGTGAGTTACTAGAAAAGAGCTCGCGACGCAGTAAAAAAAAAAAATGAAATACAAATATACATAAAACGGAACTGAATTCTCAACGATATTACGATAACTAACTAGTTATTCACCTTTCTGACTCAACTATTTACACTGTCTGTTGTCTAAAACTTAGACGCAACTACAGTTTTTTGAACGAAAGTGAACTGAAATCTCTAGACAAAGGGTATACGTGAGAAGAAGTTGAGAACTGATTAGGAAAACTTACAGCCTGTTGCTGCGCAAATGGGGGTCGACCGCTCGACGGTAATACATACACCGGTGGCGGCATATTGACATACTGCGGCATCACAAGCTGACCAGAATTCACCGCACTCTGCGCCTGTTGTTGTTGCGACTGCTGCTGCTGCTGCTGCTGTTGCGCTATGGCAGAAGGTTGCTGTGCAGCCTGTACAGGGGTGCGGACAGTCGATGGCTGAGTGTAGCCTGAGCTTGAACTTGGTTTCATCATGACTTGCTGATAGGCCGGTTGCATAACCAAAGGATTTCCATCTGCTCCTAACAAAGGTGTCCCTAGGTACCGAGAGAAAGTTGTGCAAAGTTCAGCAAGAAAAAAAGCTAATAAGGGGGATTTACTTCGATGTCACAATCTTCCTAAAAACGAAATCGATTCCCACGGTAGGGATGTTACTGGCTTCGAAAAGGTAATTCGAGTGTAAAAAAAGTTAATTTAAGATACCTGTATTAGGATTTATAAGCATAACTCCAGGCTGTAAAGGCTCTTGAGGCACTGACCACATCACTCCACCTGACGAAAAAAACAATTGCCAAGTTGTACAACCAGGTAGAACTCCCAAGAAACAAAAGATAGATTGTACTTGGACAAAATTTGTCATTTTGGTTCAAAATTCCTCCAGTTCTTACGAGTTTGTATGAAAGTGTCCTGTGTCAAAATCAGCATTCGTCACGCAGCTGTAATATTGTTTTGTGTGACAGTGACAGAATACTGCTCTGCTGATTTGCAGTTTAGAACCATGACATTTCCCATAATAACATTGCGGCTTCCCACTTAAACGGGCGTGCTACCACAATAAATACATTACCACTCTGCTGTGACGTAGGAGCCGGTGCAGCCATGACAGGCACTGGCATCCCTTGTACTCCTGGAGCTTGCACCGGCAGCATCTGCATCTCCCCAGAGGGAACAACCAAAGGGGTCCCCTCTGCCACCCAGTAAGGTAGTGGAGCTGACAGGACGGACTGTGAGCCAGGTAGATGGCGCTGCCTCTGGTTTCCATCTGATGCCCGGCGAGAAGAATTGGATACACGTTCCAAAGCGGGTGAACCACCGATATGACTTATTCCTGGACTACTACTGGACCTAGTAAATGGCTTGTTCGTCATTATTCTGATGCCTGCAGTATACAAAATTTGAAGGATTACGACACGTATCAGCACATCTCATTAGTCATATTTTCTTCCTTTTCTTCTTTCTTTATTTCCCTTCCTTTTTCTTTCTAAAAATACTAAAAGGGGATCTTTTAAATAATACGTGTAAACAACAACAACAACGCAAGAACACAACACCGGGAGCTACACTCTCTACTCTTTGCGAGAAGTGCGTGGATTATTTAACGTCCCCTGCCAAACAATACAAAAAAGAAGCAGGAGACGGGATCTGCAGTGTAAGACCAGAATGTCGAACCATTTACAGATGTCATAGCAAAGCACATTCGCATCACAGCACATTTTAAGACGCAGAGTGTTGGTCCGGTCTGGGGCTTGAACCCTCGACCTCTTACACAGTAGTCCGGCTCTCTACAACATGAGATAACCAAGCGAATTGTGTAAATGTCAGCAAAAAATCCTAATTATCTCACCCGACGTCCCAGTCGAGGACCTGTCTCCTGTCACATCCACTTCCTCTGATTTAGACTTGCCGATTTTACTTATAGGTAGCCTTTCAAGTGTTTCCTCGCCGGCAACATCACTTACATTTTCCATGTCCTCCCTGGGAAAATAGTTGAGCAGTTTCAGTAAACGTGCTTTGCGTAGTGATTGGTCTGCAAACTCACGCCCCCGCCCCTCAACAACCAATTACATGCAAAGCTAACACGAACTTTCAATTGGTCACTTATTTTTTCCGCGCTTCGGACAGATTGTATGTTTTAACTCTGAGTTCTTATTGGCTTTTGATGTAATTTACCTTAGCCTTTGGTTAGACGAAGTTGTTACCTTAGGATTTAATCTCACTCGACACTTAATTGAAAATTTCTTAACTGGAACTATAGAAAAACGCTTTTCCACATTTCTCTTTATAGTCTCACAGCGTATTACTTTTAGCTATTTTTTTTTAAAACCTTGGTCATAGTTCTTTTCTCTATAAAGCCCTACCATCCAGTTACCTTTGCAGAAGTTGAGGGACTATCATATCACTTTCGCCTTTAGAAGACTGTGATGACTGTGATGAGATAGACTACAAGATTGAAAAAAAAACTGAAATTACTTCTTGAAGTAAACTATCTGTATTCTACGTTGGCGTATATCACAATGGCACAGTGGTGCTGGCACCAAGGGGTCATCCCTAGAAGAAAAAGTACCCCTAGTATTGTTCCTTCCATGAAAGCAACATGTACAACGTTTATAAGCGCATTTCTCCAGTTAAATAAAAGTGATTGTCCCTCCAAGTTTTCCTTAGATAAAGGTTCCCATTGGAGAGCTACCACAGTATATCAGTTTGGCTTTACGTTGTAAAATACAGATACAAGATGAACTGTACCCCCGTCTCTAAATCACAAACTATAATCCTGTCATCGAACCACAGAAACTTACATCTTGATTAAATATCCTTTCCCTGGCTTTGTGATACTCTTCTTCTCGTTCCTCAATGGATTTAGAACGCTTGTCCTCCATAGAATGTATAAGAACAGGACTATCAATCTACAAATGGAATAAAAACCAATATAATTTCATATGGAAACACAAACACACCACACAAAAGTACTGGAGAAATTTTCATCAGCAAAATTGCACAGTACCTTTGGAGGGGTGCTTTCGTCTGACGGTGTATTTTGTCTTTTAAGAATTAATCGTGGAATTGAACTCTCTGAGTCCTCTGATTCCTCTCTGGGTATCAGTTCTAAAAATCTGCTTTCAGGTCTGCAAATGCACAAGAAAAATAAGTTTGTTCCTTTTTACTTTGCCCCCCCGCCCCTCTTTTTTTTTTTGGATGAACCCTTTAACCCCTAAGAGTGACCAGCATCTAATTTCTCCTTACAATATCACCCCTGAATCACACATTAAGGTCATGAGAAAAAGGAAATGATCATCAATAATAGACGCTCTCGATTATTAAACAAATTCTCCTTGTCAGCACCTTAGGAAATGTATAGAGAACAGTATGGAGAATATGTATACTGATGTTAGGGTGTAAAGGGTTAAGTCTACATACACAAGACTGAATTGCATAGCGGCCAGTTTTTGAACATGAGGTGAATGAGTAGGGGCAGATCCAGGGCCTTTTAATACAGGAATAGGAGGGGAGGGAAGGGAAGGTCCAAACTTTGATTAAAAAAACACAATTTTTTTGTAAACAAAACTAGAGCCCACATAAGCTGAGAAACATTTCTAGACAAGTATAATTTGTATTCCTCATAGTAAATAGTAACACGCGATCCTGTTGTTAACCCTTTCACTCCCAAGATTTCATAAGTAATTCTCCTTACTGTCTGCCATATAGTTCCTGTGATGTTAGTTTGGAGAATTTGGTATTGGGTCACCTAATAACCCCCTAATTAAGACTTCTCTTTATTCTCATCACTTGTCTGTTTGATATTGTATTGACACTCTAAGGAGAAATTCTGTCTTGGTCACTCATGGGAGTTTAAAGGTTAAAGGAATTTTACAAATTTTCCTTGTCTGTACTGAAGGAGAAATGTATAGAGAAGAGTGTGGACAATATGCATACTGATGCTAGGATGTAAAAAGATAATAAAACATTACCAATCTAATGCAATCAGGGGCATGCAAGAAATTACACAGTAACAACCTCCCATAGGTGGTTACAAAAATACAAATCTTTCTGCTTAATCTGTCCATAACAGTCACGTTTCCAGCAATATGAAGATTCATACACTGCTTAAAACCCCAAACCCCTTTTTTACAGGTAACTCCTAATGACCCACTTGAAAAAAATATCCCTGCCCTAAATTTATAAGGTAAGCACGTCCACAAATCAAAGACAGAATAGGTTAATCTGAATACTTACATTCTTGTGTTCACTGTTTTATTTATTATGACTGATTTTCCTGTTTGTTGATCAACATTGTGATCCATACCAAAGTAAGCGGCAACTCTGTGCACAATCATGCGGTGGTATGATGTCATAGGTGGGTAGTGAAGGAAGAGACTGTTGACCCAAAATGAAGGAATTGTTTGGTAAGTGATGAGTATGTGAATTCTTGTTACCATTAGTACAAATTGCACAGGCTGGTGCAATTTTGTTGTGTTTGAAAAATTTACAAGTGCTTATCACACCAAATTGCAAGGGAAATTTTGTCATTACCTGTTAATAATGTACATGAAAAAACATCACAGAAAGTTAAGACAGACAAAATATTGAAAGCATGTACATGCTATTTGTAATTTGCACACGTGTTACTACACATGAGAATGCACTCATTTTCAGCCGATCAGAAGCACATCATTTTTTTCATGAACATTATCACAATTGTAAGCAGATTGGTAATGAGAATCAATAATTCCATTCATTTGAGGACACCCTAGTCAATTTTTTTAAATCCACATGAAACTGAGTATGATAGACAAAAATGACAAAACATGGTCACCAGTTTTAAGTATACATGCTTGATACACTAAACACATCCAGACAGCACTAATTGGGTGATATACAAAGTAAATTCAATATACTTACGCTGGTTGCTGAATAAAATTTAGGAAGTCTTGTTCAAGTCTCATGAGAAATTTGCGATCCCTGAGAAATGAGAATAAAAATGACTGTCATTATAGTAACCTTGTTCCTTTTAGCAGGAACAGTATACTTGTATTTACCCTTAAAACCCTAACATTGACCAGCATCTTATTTCTCCTTAAAGTAATACTGCTGAGTCTCTCATTCAGATTATGAGAATAAAGGAAATGATCGCCAATCTAGGAAGCTTTGATTGTTTGATTGTTTGACCAGATCTCCTTACCACTACCAAAGAAAATGTATAGAGACAAGTATGGAGAACATGAATACTGATCGATGTTAGGGTATAAAGGGTTAAGAACAGCCACAGGTTATGAGGAAAGCCACTAGAGTGCTTACCTGGGATTCCTTAGAGTCTTTATAATAAAATCGTGCAGGTCAGTTCCCGTGGAATCTGTATATTCAAATGAACCATCTACACAAACAAGATGTAGACAAACATTTATAAGGCCAAAATAAACAGAAAATGAACAAAGTTGGTCAAGGAAGAACAAGATAAAAATAAATCAAGATTGCAAATTGCAAACAAATTGTGGCTTTCTTTTACTGGAGGTAAAGCATAGCTTTTTTTTCAGTTAGGAAGGATTGTGAAAGGAGCAAGCTGGATGTGTTACTAAATTTATTATAGACACAACAACTTGACAACCAGACCACATCAAACAGAGTCAGTGGCCAACCAACCATGGCTAGTCTGCCATCTGTAGCCAGCTACTTTCACCTCCTTTTACCAAATGTGCTAATAAAAAATTGTACAATTTCTGAAAAACATTGAAGAAATTTGTAATTTGCACAAACATCAACCAGTTTTATGTGGAAATTAATACTAAATTAACCAGTAATAGGTTTCACAGTGTGATACAATTCTACAATCAGAATTTGCTCAAAGGTTCATGCAAGTTCATGTATTGCCTGGGGCAATCAAAACACTTCCCATTCTTGCACGTTTCACAGTATCTGACAAAGCAAGTGATAACCAGGCCTCCTCCAGTTTTGCATTTGCCCTTTACTTTTAAACTTAGCAGCAGCCCAGATAACATCTTAACCTTTTAACTGCCAGGAGTGATCAACATGCAACTTCTCCTTCTAATATCTACACAGTATCCAGCAACCAGGTAATACTCAAACTTGTCAGGCAGAAGTTGCTATCTTGATCTCACACCAAATTGTTGTTACTAATTAACAAGGAAATGTGTAGCTGTTACAAGGAAGAATTAACAATCAGATCTTGGGAGTTGAAAGGTTAAATCATTTTATAAATCATTATACAGTGTATATATGAGAAATTATTACCACATGTGTACTTGCCTCTGGAAAGTGAACTCTGTTTAGAGGCTCTTGCCAAGGCCTCAAGCCGAGGTGGTAACTCTCCTGCTATTCCACTGTCACAGGATTCAATACTGGTATTTTTACTCAACACTGCACCCTAATGGAAAGAAATGAAACTTTAGTTACTCAGTGAAGAAGTTACTCGATTGACAACATGACTTCTCCTTATCAATAAGGGGTGGTTTTGTCTCTAAATTGATCTCCCACCAAATCTGAAGTACTAGCACGTAGTCTGTACCCAATATTACCTAAATTTGCACACCAAATAGTAATTGATTTTGCCTTGCTTTACAATATTGATTCACCATTGATTTTCACTTTGCTAACTTTTACTCTCAACAACTTAACCCTCCTGTTAACTTAAAACAGTTGCTGTTTCTTTTCAGGACTCTCTTTTAATAATTTTAGACTCATTACCCCAAAATATGTTTATCAGTATGTGACAAATCAAAACAAATGGAAAAAAGATACAGATAGTGCTGTTTCTTTTCATCTCCTTATCTATCAATTTTTTTTTTTTTTTTCAATCTCTGAAAATTTTGGCTCAACTCCTGCTATCACCAACCCCATGTACATGTTACTCAAACCCTCTCCAATTTCCCTTGAAAGTTCAAGTCACGTAAAGCACAAGTTAGATTTGGAATGAAATGCACAATCATATGGCAACCAGTCCCAAGAATTCTCATTAATGTAAACATATGAGTTAACGAGGTTCCCATCACACAAAAAAGTCCAAGTTTAGTTACAAAATTTTTTTTCTCAAACATGTACCTCTGTGACCTCATCTGGGTACTGAGAGGGTGGAGGTGAAGGAACACTTGTCACAGCAACACTTCGCACAAGAGTTTTCCTTGATTGATGATAGGTTGGCTGCAAATTGAAAGAGCAAAATCACAATAGCAATTAGTATTCATTGTTAACAACAACCTTCTCCTGTCACTCATGATCAGCCCATTAGAATGGGCCATTCTTAAGTCATGTAAGTTAAGGAAACCTGAGAGTCCTGTGAAAAAAGTGATCTTGAAAAAAGTTGATTAGCTAATTAGCATCTTATTGCCTACAACTACTTTTTTGGCTACTTTTGTTAGCAACCTTAGGTGCTCAGTTAATGAGGCAACTTCCTTCCTCTACATTACATGTACACAACTGTACACAACTGTTAAACTAAATAAATCAGCTTTGATAGATGGCAATCAGAGTTCTAAAATTTGCTGAACTACCAGTACACTACTTAGTTTGCTTCAAGCCAGTAAGAGCTAATAATAAAATCACCAAAGAATAGCACCCCTATTCCAGTAATTTTAGTCCAAATGATTTCAATCAGAAATCTAGGAAGTCCAAAGGATGACTGGATTAAAGGGTGCTATTTAACCATGTGACACCTAAGAGCAACTAGCATCTATTGTAATTTCTCTCCACAATATCAATCAAAGTCATGAAAATAAAGGAAATGATCACCAACTGAAGAAGCTCTCCATTGTTAAACAAATCCTCCTTATTAACAGCAGGGAGAATAAGCATACTGGTGTAGGATAAAGGTTGACAGAAGTCAAAGTTACAGTAAAAACAGGAGGCAAATTTTACCTCAGAAGCTGAATGAGTCAATACAGGTATGGATGAACGGATTCCGTGAAAACTCTGCTGTACATGAACAGTACTTAGAGAAGGCTTAGGTTGTGTTGCCATGGTAATGGCTTGTGGCTGTTCTGGGGAATCTGCGTTTGTGCTCTGATCACTTGAAACTTCAGCAGTGGTAACAACAGGAGTTTTGGATTTCTGATGAAAAAAAGATAGGGAAAAAAATATTCCTATAAATGTAACATTTTTAAAATGTCACAACTGTAATCATGGCTCTTGTGTTTTTTTTTTTCAATTGGTGACAGTGATATCCTCTTCCCCAAGCTCTCATGACTGACTGGGATGGAATTTCTGCCTAAAATATCAATCCATTATTAAGCAGGCAAATAATGAGAAAATAGAAAATATCAATTAGGGGATTATTAATTGATCCAATTAATACCAGATTCTCAGAACTAACATGATAAAACTTGCTTGACAGAAAGTAAGGAGAATTGCTAAAAGAGATATTGGGGGAGAGAGGGACACATACATGTACAGTGTACTTTAGGAGGGATCTTGCAGAGACACATACCATACTGATAGAGGCAAGTGAGAAATGAGGCCCATGGTTTATATCCATGATCCAAAAAGACTCTTTAACAACTACTCACCAAAGTGGAGGAGGCTAGTGATGGATATATTTACCCAGTCGCAAACTGTCTAACTAAATATCTCCCACTGGCCACCAACACCGAGTTGAAAAGTTGTTTATACTTAAACAGTGAGATAATATAGCACAGAAGGATGATTTTTAACTCATTTATTCATGCAATGATTGCAAAACTTTTGGGTGCCAATCATGCATGAGTTTGAGAAGCCAATAAAGAACCATTAAAAACAAACACTGCAGTGTACCAGCCTACCTCGGCAGGAGTGTGATTACAGTTTTCTTGGTGGTTTGTCATATCAGGACCATTGTCTGAAGGAAATCTGTCGTCCATTATCTAAAACAACAATGCTGTGAAGAAAAAAACGAAAGAGTAATATTGATTTGCAATGAAACGTAAGATTTACATCAATAAACAAAATACAAAAAAGAATTATATTTATCGGCATTTATTAGCTCCTTGTCTTAATGAAGGACATTGTATAAGTAATGGATCAACAAAAGGAAGTAAATAAAACAAATTCAAGCCAAAGGAAAAAAAGTTAATAGGAGGGAGACAATACAAGTTGTCTACTAACAAGGGATTTTGGGGGAGTTGAACTTGGCACTATCATGAACAATTTTAAAATTATTGCTTAAACCACTCGGCTGTGTCACTATGACAATTCAACACAAAGGGATCTGAAAATATGCCCAAACTAAATGAAGCTTGAACTTTCACCTGAATAAATTTTCAGATATCTGATGCAACATTGTTTTGTAACTGTACAGCAAATGTATTTTAAACCCTAATATGTCTTGAAGAACTTTGGAAAACTCATTGCATACATTTTGTAATCATAACCAAGAATACAGTAGTGTACTTCAGTGAGTTAGTGCCTGAATGATTACTTGAGTATTGAGTTCACAAATTATAACAGAATACTTTTACCAATATCAATCTTACAATGCATTTACGTTTTACCCTCAACATAGAATCTTTCTCTCTTAACGTCTTGCACTTTTACGACACCTCACTAAAGAAATTGTTTGGAGGATCAGCCGAGTTAAACCATTATCAAATATGTGCTTTATTTGCAATGCATTATTCATCATAACCATAAAAATTCAAGGTCTCTTGATGAACATAATACGTCTGACCAATCAGCCACAACAATAATTGATACATTGTCATGTCATATATCAAAATTTGACACAAGTGACTAAGCTTGCATAAACTAGACCTAAAATGGATTCTTTAAGAGATAATTTAAGCACTCTCTTCCTGAAATCTGTATTTAGAAGACTGATTGATTGCATAGAGAAATGTACATACTTAATACATACATACATGGCCACTAACAGTCGTTTCAAAGAAGGATTGAACTAACAAACTTGTCAAAAAAAATAATAAGCAATTCAGCTTTGTTACAATTAAGCGTCATACATGTACAATGTCTATTACCATAATTCAAATTGTTTACAGCCCAAAAATTTCATTTTAGAATCAACAGCTTAAGTTCGAAATTGAATTAAACAAACATTGCATAACTCAATAGATAAGATAACCAGACATTCTACTTTCAGACATACTGGTACTTTCAAATGGCTAATATCATAATATCTGTTAAGGGAGCCTCTAGCAATGTTACAAACAAATTATATTACACATGAAACGGTCAAAACTATGTCAATGGGTTGTGAAGTCAAGCACTGAGGATAATTTTTTTAACACTAATTTCATTCCAACTTTCTGCATTTTTAGGAATAAAAAACAACAAAGGATAAAGTGAAACAACCACTGTACTTGCATGCAAATCAAATTCCTATTTGTAAGTGCAATATACACTGTATTACGCCATTTTGTCACATCAAAGTAACACATGCATGTATTTTGCTCTAATTTATTTGTCACACAATTAACTATCATTCACAGAGGAAGAGACAAAGCCTATTTACTTTGAGCAAAGATCAAAATTCTCATGTCTACAAATTTTAAGAGTAGCACACAAATTATTTTGTGAGAGGAATAAATTCTCACAATGCATTTTATACCTCTTTCTGAGAAAAATTTAACAAAAAAACGATGATCAAAGTACATTACTTTCTTTTCGTAAACAAATGTTGGAGTTAATTAGATAACTGTGATATGGCATAACTTCAAGTTTTCCTTTGAAATAATGAACATTGAATTTCTTAAATAGTCTGTTCAGTCATGGAATAAAATGACTTGTCAAGAAAATCTGGAGTTTGAAGACTTGCATAGTGCTGCTTCACAAGACATAACTGCTGCAAATGTCTCACAGAGTCCTAGCTAACAAATTCTTCATTTACAATTTTTTCACGTCACCCTTCAAAAAATATTTGCTCTGCTCACAGACATATACACATCACAATATATTTTAAATCACTAACCAAGCAAGTGAATAGCATTACAGAATGAATCATTTCCAGAGAACAACTGTCATTGAGAACAAGCCAACAATAACATTAATTTCTTGCATTGGAGGCTACAACCATGTGCCAAAACCACAGAATCACAGTTCTGGAGAGCCTTACATGTAAGTTCACCACAGCCTAACTTCACATTCTCTAGCAAGAGCTCCAGGGCTTGTCAATTTCTGGAAACCTAAAACAGCTCTCTTGAAGTTGCATTTAACCATGAATTATTTGCAGTGAGTAGGTCTAGGCTAAACTTTGGTGAACTAATTTCAAAACAATTTAAATAAATAATGAATGACAAGACCTGCCTCAAATCTAATGGAATATTCTAGACCAGGGTTGGCTTAGCTCAATATTATTGTGGCTAACCAAAATAGAATGTAACCCTCTAACAAAGCAGCATTGTTAATTAAATCTGTGCAAATGGTGGGAGGCAGTCATTATCTTGATGCATTTGGAAGATTCTAGCATTATTGCTGTTATAATAACATCACATACAGGGAGATTTGTATCCTACATGTATATTCTAAAAAGTTGAAAACACATGAACAAGTGTATCAACATAGAGCAATGATTGCTCAAAATGAACAAAACTTTTTTCTAGAAAACCAAACAGATATTGACAATTGATCACAAGAAATCTGTACCTATCAGTGAAATATCTATTAAAAAAGTAAGGGTTATTGTTCAATTTTGGAATACATAATTCAAAATTTTGACATAGTTACACACCAAGACTTAAAACCAAAATCTTACAAAAATAATTATAAATGAAAGTTCTCCTTGCACATCACTAAAAATTCCTCTTTGTGGTCCATGTAGGTGGGAGAATTTAATAGTTTATCAAACAACATTATTTGATTGTGTAAGTGAAGATATCAACTCAAACAGTGTATACACTATAAAATAACTACTAGCATGGCATGAAGGAGATTTAAGAGATTTTCTACGAATTATGGTTACAGAAACAGCACACTAGTACTGTAAATGTAGTTCTCAAATCCCTTTCCTACCACAAATAATGCTTTGTGAGTTGAGATTATGAGGAAACATGCAGTCCACTCTGTGCAGTGGATAAATTTTGGAGGTGTAAGTGCCTGTTTTTGTCAAAACCCACCTAAAGCTTACTGAATGACTCAAAGCAGTTTGATTTTAAAATTTCTTTTCACAGAGCCATCCACACAGTGACAGCTGAATGCAAGCACGTGTGATCACATACATGTAATCATTTGAAACAAGACACGCTTCTCAATATTCTGAACTAACTGTCCAGACTACGCAATTTCATTTCATGGGGGAATTCCAATATTTAACAGAATTGTCCAAACAAACCCATCAATTTCTGAATATTACCCATTCCTTTGATGGAATTTATCTAAAACATATAATGGTAACCTCTCAAAAAAAAGCCTATTCACTTGCAAAGTTGATCTGTCTGGTTACAAAATTCAGACCAATGGAATGTGCCTTAAGGATAAATAACACTTTTGCGGGTGTCCATTGTAAAAAAAAATTTGTAGAGAGCTATTTAAAGCCTAATCTCCATAAACTATATATCATTGGAAAGATTTTGAATGTGCTACCCAACATAATTTTTTTAGTTTAAGCTTGATCGCAAATCAACCAAGGCACGATGATATCTCTATGAGTGAATTAATCAGGTACCAAATCTGACTGCACTAATAAAGCTATGGTATACATTCAGTCATAAGGAAATAATCTTCAAAATTGTGTGGTGATTTCTAGATATTCCAATTGGCTGCTTTGCACTTTCCCTATCAAGTTTGCTGATCATGATTTCACTGCTAAGCTTTACATCAGATGCAGGAGATCAAATGCAAAGAATCGAAATTCCTTCAAGCAGTTTTTTGTTATTGTGGGAGTATGTGGGCCAAATTTCTAGGTGATCCATTACTTTTTCGTATCCTAATAAATTGTTCAAAGAAGACGCATGTGGTCTTTCAGCCTGAGCTCAAATATCTTTTTCAAACATTTCACACCTTTTAAATGAAATTATTTTGAAATAATTTTTTTAAAAAATTGGCCTATGAAAGTCTACTGTATCCTTAAGTTAAATATTAAGAGTACAGTGTCTTGATAGTATCAGGCAAGTCAAGAATTCAAAGAAAATGACAATATTTTTAAGTTTGCAAAACATGTTTTGACAGAAACTTCTGTCATCTTCAGTATAAAATTCAACTTCCAATGCTTTGTACATGAATTAACTGAAGATGACAGAAGTTTCTGTCAAAACATGTTTTGCAAACTTAAAAGTATTGTCATTTTCTTCAAATTCTTGACTTGCCTGATACTATCAAGACACTGTACTCTTCCAATGCTCTGTACATGAATTAACTGAAGATGACAGAAGTTTCTGTCAAAACATGTTTTACAAACTTAAAGGTTTTGTTGTTTCCTTCAAAGAGTACAGTACATGTAGCATGCATATTTTTATTAGTAGGTAATAGAATTAGCAGAATTTGTTAGCACTCTGAGCACTCCTTCAGTGATGCCATAAGGTGAGTTTCAGTAGGTCAAAGACAAATGATTTTTATTCAGCTCATATTTGTCAATTCATCAATTCAATTTTGCAAACATGTCTCCAAATGCTAACCCTGGAAAATTACAAGTATTTATTTCTCCTTCACCCACAGGAAAAGGCTTTTTGTTGTTTTACCATTAATGGCTCTGAGAAAAGAGAACTCACATACAGCTGGCATCATAAAAATCATGTTCCTGTTTGAGTTCCGTGAAAAATAACTCCTTGCACTCTTTGAGCCCAGACAATAATGGGAAATGTCATCTGTGCCCCACTACCTAATTCTGTTATCAAGGATGAACTCTGTTACGTAACAACAACTGTGTTACAACATCACAAATTCAAACAGATCAGTTGCTAATTGGTGTAATACTACCACAGACACAATAACCTTTTCAATATTTCAAATTTTCCATTCAAAATCATGAAGAGTTAGTAACAAGATTCTTATTCACAAAACAGACATGCATTCTCCATAAGAAATATCACATAAATTAATTAAATATTTTGAATGTAATTATGACATGGTTTCGTTTAGTATTCACCATACTGACATAACAAAGGGATAAAAGCTGATGATGGCTTTCTGTTAATGCAAATAATTTGTATTTGCCTTTTTTTTCACAATATCACACTTTGACACTAACAGATATGAGCAAAACTATTCAAATTCAACCTGGCCACATTTACAAATTTAAATTGCACCCCTGAAAGCATCACAGCTTCAACAGAAAGGTGACAAAAATAAATCAATGTTTCTTTGAACCATGACAAGAACTGACAAGTATTTTTTAAAAAAAATCAAATGATTAATTCCACATAATATGGAAGAATTTTTAAAAATATCTTGTTGAGCTCATCTCAGGGTATTTAAAGAGGATTAGATGTTAGTTGCTATTATATGGTATGCAATAAAGAATCAAAAAATGCTAATATCATTAAATATCGAATAAGGGGCGATCCAAGGTAAAGGTTATTTTCCATTCAAATTGTCACAAATGACAACAGCAGAAAGATCAGAGATTTAAATTTGACAAGGAAGCAGACAGATTGTTGTATGCTTTACAATATTCCAGGTTTACTCTGTACAGTGATTGTATAAAAAGTTCATAACTTGTAGTGCATTTGCTAGGTAGTATATAAACAAAAGTGTGCAAATGGATTTAAGGAAGGATGTTTAGCAGCGTTACAAAATTTGAATAAATTAACACACACACTTGCTAATCAACTTGAACAACAGTTGTGATGTGTTCTCCACATTTTTGTTGCTGTGAAGAAGGTTCAAATTGTGTCTAGGAAGAGCGCTGCTTGAAAACTGATAATTAATAATTATTTTCACTTGGGTATAACATCCCAGTCCAGACGACTGTAACATTTCACTTGCAACAAGGAATTCATTTATTACCTCGAACTGAAATTATATGAGGCACAGTTAAATCCATCCTAGACAGTCAACTTTCTCGCTAACTTTGGAACTAAACTTCACACATATCCAGAAACATATCAAAGATGAACACAGAAGCCTCAGTTGAGACAATTATTATTGGTCAGACATGAAAAAAAAAAACAACAGTTTAAATTTCCTCGCGAAATTAATCCGTTCCACAATGTCGTATCAAAGTCCTTTCGAAAAACCACGGACAGCTTTTTCAACCGGCTGTGATTATGAACAGATCAAAGACCACAAGGAGATAAATTCATTTCCATTTTACCAGGATTATACCGAATCAAAGTAAGGTTCACTTATATAAGCTTACATCATAAGTTAAAATGCCACTGCTTACATTTGTGCTACCTATTGTTTGCAGTTGCTCGCCCTTTAACAAATTTAATCCATAGCAAATAAGAGTGTTTCTGCAGCTCTAAATCTTACCTCAAAAAGAAGCCAGCTTATGTCCATTTTCAATCATCGTGAGGTGAAGACTTGCCAACCATGGATCATAACGTTTGGAAAAATCTTGTGTTGTGAAATCGTAACTAACTTTTGCCCAAATTTGCAGAATCAGCCCCGGCGTATTTACGGCCTTAATTCTGAAACGGGAAGTAAAATCAAACGGAGTGAGAAGATTTAACGACACCAAATTACACAAAAAGCCAGCAAAGTATAACATGCATCAAAAATAACTCTTAAAATTTGCAAAACGGTACAAAAAACCTGCGCATTTTCGATTTTTTTACGACCAGGGAAGCACCTTTGTCAAGTAAGTTATTTTTCCTAAATAAAAACAAGTTGTTCTTCCTTAAATTCCCACTAAAAAATGTCCCTCGAGGGATATCCTTAACACTCTAATATTGCCTCCATTATTTCGAAAGAAAATAATTACAATGAAATTGGGAAAAAACAGAAGCGTAGACCATCCGCCGATGGAAAAATTTCACTTGAAATCGACAACTTCTAAAAGCTTAATTAATAATTCACTCCACTCGACTACACTCCCTCCAAACATCTACCTAAACAAGATAAACCCCAAAAAATTCTACATAAGTTGAACAACGCCCTTTGTGAGAAAAAGCCACCTTCAAAACTCACAAAAGGCTACCTCAATGTGACGCAAACCTCTTTATAATCAACGAGAGTTTGCAGATGAAATCGACAACAGATTTCCCGACACGGTGAGGGGAAAGTTTTAGCTCGTCCACGCCGATATTTTCGTAACACATTTCTGAGCGTGGGCGAGCTTAATTTAACTCCAACTAACAAATCCCGGGAGTCTCACTCGCCGGTCACTTCAGCTCACCTGTAGACTCGCTAGACATGTTTCTCTTTTCAACCGTATCAGCGATGGTAGGACAAGCAGCCGAATAAATGCACTAAAACTGCAGCAGGTTTTCAAAACTGTCGACAATTACAAGGCGAAGAACGGCCGCGGCTTTTAGACACAAAATTGCCACCGGAACCCGAAATGGGAAGCAACGTCTCCCGTTAGGTACAAAAAGGAGACCTCCTTAATTCGGTTGCTAAAGCAGATAATTTTCTCCTAAAAACAGTCGAATTGTCATAGCTTGAACACAGAGAGAATGTAACACCGGCCACACGAGCATCATCAATCGCTCGCCTCGAGACTTCTGGGTAACTGACGTCACAGGAAAAGAAGAAATTGCCGGAAGTAAAAGTCCTTTTATAGAGGACTTCCGCTCGGTGCCGAAGGCAAATATAAATTCTTCTTTTTTTTTAAGCTAGTGGAACATTTCTACATTGGCAATTGAAAACGTGACTTACTTTTCGATTAGTTGAAGTTTCTAGATACATGGATTCCCCGGCGACATATTTCATGCAACACGGAATGTACTCATAGAAATGAGATCCGAAGGCCAATAAATTCAGATTAGTCTTAATCTAAAAATTTTGAAGATATATTTAATTTTTTTGCATTTATTTCTCCAAACTCTGTCACACATAAAATATCGATTTCCCACGGGGGTTACAAAACTCTAGTAATGTTATTAAGATATGGTGATGACTTATTTGTAGAGAAAATAATGAAAATTGGACGCTAAGACTTGTCAATGTAGAAGAAAGAGCTATAAACGTAACTCGCTTAAACATGTAACTGGTATATACAACGGATGTCAAATTCGTTACCTAGGTTCGATCCTGTCGTCGCTGAGTTGAATTAATCCAGAGGTAAAACATTCGAATTATCTGCTGTAAACCGTTACAATTTTTAACAGCGTAATAACATTGGAGGGTAAAATTTTTTTTTCTTCTACCCAACTGACTTAATGTTTACAGTTTATCATCTGCATATTTAAAACTAACAAGAAGCTATGAATACACATACGGTAAATGTGTCAGATAGTTTGGCAAGCCACCACGCCCGAGTAGGAATAAAATCAAATCTTACAACATGTCAAATTTACTTCTATCATTTGAATCCACCGATTGAACTGAAATTTACCCACCTTCTTTGAGTGATTTTAAGCGCTGTAAGCCGGCTGACGCATAAAAACGAAAGATTAAGGCGATCGGCTTGAAAAAAAAATTCAAACGCGTATATTCGCGTTACCCCTTCCGAATCAAAGCGTGAAATGAATCGTTCGAGAGATGTGAGTCCACTAAAACTTAGAAAAAACTTTTTGACGTCATCGTTTCTAAACAAAACGCAAATGAACGCCTACGAGCGGAAGAAATGCATACGTCTTCTCGGGAACCAAAAAAACTCAAATTAATTGGACTCGTAAATTATATTCAACGAACAGAAGTCGAACCGTTGGAGTCTTTGTACTCCTCGCAAGATAAGTCTCCCCTCTGACGTCACGCTGACGTCATTTGAAGTCTGTGTGTATAAATACACAATAAGACTGTCTAAAACGAGATGATAGAAAAACATTGTTTTTGTCAAGAAAGTGCATGCAAATTTATAAAAAAATACTTCTAATAAATAATATCTTTTCCCTCTAGGGGTTGCGCTTTTTTCCATGTTTTTTAGCAAACAATCGCGGCCGCGCAAGGGCAGACTTTACCCCAGCGAATATCCAGTTTTCTCTCGTGTCATTTTGTGAAACAAAATACTTTTCGAGATGAGGCGGTTGATTGATCGCAAACGACATTTGAAAGAAATCAATCGGTAGGCGATCATAAATTATTCAATAAGGTGTGATATTTCTGCATAATTTGCGGGGAGAAAATCCATTTTAAATCCTACACGAAGAATAGCTCGTTGTGTTTCTATTTTGGCCCTGGTTGGCAGTGCGTGGGTGGAATAATTTGGAGCACTGACTGAAGTGTGACCTGCAATCTCGTTTTTCCGGGAATTTCGAACGCTGGTAAGCGCTTCAACACGGTATAGTTAATTTTTTGGCGTTTCAGCGTGATCCACGAATTTGAGGCAGGTGGAAAAAAGTGCTATAGATTGCAAAAAGATGAAACCGCATACACCTTTTCAACTTAAAAGCAACAAAATGTATTTTCTAAGCTTGCAAATTCAAATTTTGGGATGGCATCAGTGTTTTCTTGATTCTTCAGCTTCGTGGATACAAATCTATCTTTAAAAGTTGAAAAACTGTTTGCAGTATAATGTGTTTTCGGCAAAACAAGAGAAAAATGTTTGCAAAGAAAATTAATGTTGGCACTTAGCATATTCACTGATGTATTCTTTGCCTGACAGAATAGGAGATGGGATCTCGAATCTCTCGTCTCAAATCTAATGGAAATTTCGCGTAATACAAACATCGGCCGCCCAAACTCCTCATGCAATTCCTTTTTCTCTGGTGTCAAAACTAACAAAATATTATGACAAATAAAAGTTCACTTTTCAAGCGCCGACACAACTCATTTTTACAGCTATGCAAAACAGAGTGCAATTTTAGCTCGTCAACTGAAATGCCGGGGGCCAGAGAGGTGCAAGCATATTTAAGAAGACATTTATCTTCTGACCAGACATTTCTGAATTTCATTGCAGTCGGTTAAGAAAAGACTTAGAGCAAAAGTGTCACTTTTTTAGCACGAAATCTGTGAGATCGTTGGTTTAATTTTCATTTCTATTCGTTGTCTACTGAGGTTTTTTTTTATTCTGAGTGATATTTGCAATTTGCATCTAAAGCCGGATTTTCGCTTAACATGCATCTTGAGGTTTTTGTTTATATCTCTCTTTTGCTCCATTACGCAACGTACCCTATAAACTCGTAAGCGATCGGTAACCTCGCTAAATATTGCAGAATGTCTGTTGTGGTTAGAAATTCACATGACATTGATTTTGAAGAAAAAAAATTATTTTCTCGTCATTTTTTTTCCTTTTTTTTGATTCAAAATACCTCCTGACAAATATGCTACAGCTTACTGACGTATTTCACACCAAGCTAATTTGTTTGTGGTCACTTTTGAATTGAAGAAAAAAATCATGGCCAGAAAAAGCTGAAACGGAACGAGCTCAGCCTTTCCACTCTTTTACGCATTTCTTTCCACCAAAAATGAAATACATATCCGTTCGTTTTTGCAAATGTGTCTCCAATCTTTCTCCATTGTCTTCCCAAATGTTATTGACAGTGTTGTTATCCAACAAGGGAAGTAAAATTAACTCTGGGTCTTTTTGGCTCGTTTGAAAAGATAATAATGCTAAGTATTACTTTCCTCTGTGCTCTGCTGTTGCAAAACTTCACCACCATCTCCTTATCGCGCGTTAATGTGTTCACAGTTAGTTTTAATTTTGAAATATGTGAGATTTCTGAAATGCAATTGCCAAACCCAACTGTCTTCAAGTTTATGCGTTAAGCTCTAAGAAAAATCTATGAGAAGAAGGTCTATCGACAAGTATTGAGTTGGTGTCTTTGATGGCCATAGTTGGACATTGTTCAATCTGATTATTGTTCTGTATGCACTTTGTAGTATGAAATTAATTGAAACTTTTGCGGCTCTAAGCCGGCACTAGTGTATACAAGGACACGAGCTAGTAGCCTGTTCTCGTTATGAAGCTGTTGCAGTCGCGTTCTGCAAACCAAACCTCGGGGTTTTATTGCAATCTTCATGGGAACTTACGATTAACTCTCAGAATCAGGCTCTGACAAAGAAAACTGGTCAGTTTTCGATATGGCTAGAACACGCTTTATTTCATCTGGATTTTTGAGACTCGCAACGAAAGTCTTCGTATGATATGTTCGCTAAAGGGAGGAATTCTGCTTAGGAGTATTACAGTTTGTCTTGAGGTTTGTCTTCAACACAACGTAAGTCCTTCTTTAATTGACTCCGGCGCAACTGGCGGAGGCTTGTTATCATTTTCGTCTTCAAGTTCGAAGGATAGCGAAAAAAACATCCCTTTGTCTTTGTTAGAATTGTAGCTTTCGCGAGAGTTTTTAGGAGACAAGGAACAACACTTCATACCTACCTTTAGGTGTTGAATAACAGAAGAAGCAGGGTTTCATAGAAGTTCTATACGCGTAAAGCGTGTCAGTAGAATAAAGCGAGATGAAATTTTTTTCAGGGTGTCATCGGCCTCAGGTCTTCTCCATAAGCTAAAGCAGATATGTAAGATTGAGCCATACCTGGTTGTGTGAATGCGTAACAAGAGAAGATGACTTGCTAACAGACGCTCAAAGCATTTGGCTAACGTCACGAGAGCCCGGTCTGCTTTGTTAATGGCGGATGCAAGTGCGAACCTCTCGGCTCTAAGATTGCCTGTTTTTTCTCGGCATGTACGGAGCTTTTTCGTCTAACGATTTAATTTTAATTCACCAAAACCTACCCTCCAAATAAACCTGATTTCGTTTTTATGAACCTTAAAGAAAACTGACAAATTCAAGATGCTCAAACAAAGAGGTTTTAGCATGGTCCGACAGTGCCAATCGGTGAAAAACAAAATGGCGGCTTCTAACTTCATCAAAGGTTTCATGTCCGTTTAAATATAAACCCATTTTTAAAGCTAAAGGAGCTTGCTTCCACAACTGTTCAAAACATTTTCTATAAGTTTACACTAAGATCAATTGAAATTTGTCGCTCTACAGTTTCTGCTACAACACGGAAGATTTGTAAGGCTGTAACAGGTCCTACTACGTCTGGTTATATTTTCCAGTCGCCATAATGATATCCTCAATATGGTTTTACACCAGCAAAGCATTCCTTTGTAAAATTTTTCGCTTCTTATGACAGCTGTTTGTTCATCTTAATATGAAAAGTAATACACATCATTTAAAAATATTTCTTAAACCTACGATTATCGTAAGACAAATTGCTGTGTTATTTCATGTCAGTACGAAAGGGGAGTCCTGCCGTTACAGATGTCGTTAGAAATCGCTTAACTATGAACGGTAAAACCAGAAAGTACAAGCAAAAAAGTTTTACATTTTCTAATCTAGTTTTATTTCAGGTCTATTATGACATAAATTTACATACTAAGATAAAAGCAGACAGGT